AAAAAATAATATTTTAAGAAAAACGCATTTAACTGTGTAAATTTTAGAATTTTTAATAATTTTAAAAATTATAAATATTTTAAATAATATTTTAATAATTTTGTGCAATTATTGCTCTACATATCTATAGCTGCATTTTTATAATTTTAAATTAGAAAATGAAAAAAGTTTTTTGATTTCTTAAAATTTTTAAAGTTCTATGTAATTTCTTAATGGAAAATAAAGAACGGATTATATATCATTGTCAATGGCATATTAAATAGAAATCCCGAGAATGACCTTCATTCGTAGAAATCGCTCGTAAGTCAATCTGTTATAACGGTTCGATAAACTCTGGAGATAATATAGAAATAATAAAATAGAACATGTTTAGTATAAATTATATTTCTCAAGCGTCTGTCAATTTGTCTAACATTTAACAAGTAATCGAGAATGTCAGAGGCAAGAAGCTAGCTCTGACGAAATTCTCCGCAAAAAATAAGCTGAATATATTCCGAGAATAAAAAGCTATATCATTCTTCGGTAGCGTTCGGTGAAACTTTCCATGGCATCGAATATTCTTTTGCTGAGAGTTTTTTCCATTACTTTTTCTTACGTTCAGATATTATTATTTGCAAAAAAAGATATTTTTTTCACGATTTGATCATAAATTTTTAGGAAAGGATAACGCAATACTTTTATTCATTTTCACTTATAAATGTTGCAATCGTTGTTGTGAGAATTTTGAAATTGATAGAAAATATTTTACAAATATATACACTCTAAAAAATATGGATGTAAATGGTATAAATTTAACCTCATTTGATATTAATACAATTTTGTATTTCTATAAAACACCGAATGGTATTAAATCCACATCTATATTTTTTAGAGTGGCACGAGACGACGCCAATTAAAAGATTCATCGATAGTTTTCGTCTCTCCTACAGTTTCTCTCGAGCTCGATGTACCGAATCTTTGGCATTCGATCGACTGTTATAGCCGGTGATCGTCTTTATCGGATATCCAAGGAGATGAATGTAAAACATTGACTTAAAAATTCTATTAAATACAAACGATCGTAGTTATCATCATTATCGTCGGGTCTCTTCGTTTACATTAGCTATAACCGCAAGTCAATCATGTATTATTGGCAATAATATTAATCAATAATATTATATTTCTTTTAGCATTAACGCGTGTCAGAGTGTGGGTATGTGTATATGTATACGCTTGTACGTATGTAATTATTACGTGTACGTCGCATCTGCGCACACGCGCGTGATCGTCCTATTAATAATAATATTACAATGTGTTAATGACTCTATAAACTTACAATCATATCAATAATAATGCTAATATGATAATGCTAATATGATTCTTTTTTATATTTTCTTGCATATCTTCGTTTTCTTTTTATTCTTACACTCATTCGTTTTATATATGCAAATACATGCACACACACACACACACACACACACACACACACACACACACACACAC